AAAATTAAGTTTAAACTTAGATCGGGAGATCAGCGGCCGCCGGCCGGTTGTTCAAAGCTGGGTTAACGCTAATCCTCGGTTAAAATTTAATCTGCTGTTTTAGCCAGTAACTAGTTTATATATTTCTGCACGCAGTGGCAGAAATCTTGGTGGGGTGGGGTGGGCGGCCGCCCCCCCCCCGCCCACCTTCACGCAAAATTGACGAATTTTCGGAAATTTTGATAAAAGAGGGCTAAAACAGTTTTTCGAGTGCAAATGGGGGGGGGGAGGGGAGGGGGTATGTCGGAAATTTGAAAGTTTTGTCGGAAATTTAGGAGGCTTTGCCCCCCTCCCCCCACCGGAAAAAGTGAATTTCCGCCACTGTCTGCACGTCTGTTTATTGCAAAACGTCAGAGAAAAAAGGCCTACTGATTCAGACAAGACTCGGCTGAAGCAATATTTCCAAATTTACAAACAAGCTCAGTGGGAAGTTTGCTTTGAATTTAAAGTTAACTGTACAATCATGTGCAAAAATATAGTGAGACAACAACGCAATTGCCCCCACCCATCAGAACAATGTTGTAAATAAGTGTCAGCCCAATTTTTTTGTCAACATTGTCTATGGGGGGGTGGGGGGGAGGGGGCAAGAACTTTAAAAAGAGGATAAACATATAAAAGTCTTATTATTTTTGCACTTGATAGTCTGAGTTATCAAGCCCGGCGGCCATTTACGTTAGGAGTCCAAAATTTTAGTTATGCCAAAATATTGCAGTTAGCCATTTTTAAGTTTAACTCGCAGTATTTGTGCAATTAACAGCGAAAAATAGCATCTGGGAATGAGGATCGCGCATTTAGGCATTAGCAACATTTTCGCGCGGATCACTCCGAGTGCAAATCCATATGTGGTTATCATTCCATGTTTCGCGCACCAATATAGGTTAGGGTTAGGGGTTAGGTATTAGGGTTAGGTTTAAGGTACGTTGGGGTTAGGGTGTGTTATATGTGTATGGAGGTATCTATAGTGAACTTTTCAGTACACTATAATATCCATTACATAACGTTTACTATATTGGTGCGCGAAACATGGAACGATTACCAAATATGTTACTACAGCATTTGCATGTCATTTAAACAAACGAGAAGCACAGTAGAATGATTGGTATATCAATAACACCGAAAGAAGGACAATAGCGCGATTTGAACATCATTTGTGCTACTTAAGTAGGTTCTACTGTGCAGGGTGTCCCAAAAAACGAAAACTATTGAAATCACCAATAACAATTTGAAGGTTAGAATTTGAATGCCTTAGCGCTCTGTTGGTTCCCACGAGTGCATAAATGATTGACATAAGTAAATTTTATGCATAAAGAAACGGCTATTTTAAATTCCCAAGAGCGGAAAATCACGCAAATTACAAGGAGATGTTCTTAACTAAGTTTTAATACATGCACCTTGTCAATATTATAGGCATCATTACGTTCAGCTGTTTGGTAGGGCATTCAAATTTAACGATACGTGATTTCAATAGTTTTCGTTTTTTGGGGGACACCCTGTATATTCCGTAAAGTGAAAATCAATTAGACGAAACAAAGAACAATTGCAAGAACAAATTAATCATTAACATTTTCACAACAACAATAGCAATAAATCAAAACACATTTAACCACAACAAATAATCATTAATATAAAGGCAAAATATAAAGCTAACATTAACGCAGACATTTCCCGTCCTCACATGCAACTTCGTATGAATGACATCAAGCCCTGACTCGTCCCCAGTCGTCTGTGTTTCAAGCGTGGGCGGAAGAAAAGGTATGCGCAAGGTTTTTTAAGCGCGGGCGGAAGCAGGAAAAAGATGCAGGCGGCGCAGCGGAGCTCACCGCCTGCATGCCCTTGCTAACCCTTGCGCATACCTTTTCTTCCGCCCGCGCTTGAAACACAGAGACGACTGGGGACGAGTCAGAGACAAGCCGCAAGAAATGCACAACTACCAATGGGTGAATTTCGGAAACAAATAATGATAGCAGCTGCTGAAAGAAATATGCACTGCATAACCGTACCGAATTGTACCGCATGGGGCAGACATATGCAGACATACTTGCCACGATGTCTTGCAAGATTAACACATCCAGGGCTAAAACATATTAAATAGCATTTTTGCTGTTGTGTGAACCGACAAACATTAAATCTATATTTGTTAGAACGCGACTTCTGACTATACAGGGTGTATAAAAAAAGGAGACCTTTAGAAATTGAAATAACGTTTAAACAAAAGATTGTCTGCTCCTGGGAACAACCTGCCATGCATACGGTACGTAGATCGCATATGTTACTCACTCGTGGGCTTAGCAAAGTGCTCCAGGATTCAAGTTATAACAATGGTTGATTTCTAAAGGTCTCCTTTTTCTAATATATGCAATTAAGGTTGTCCACGAGCGAAACGAAGTCGAATACGAGCGCGAAAGGCTGCTGGGAACTGCTTTGAAAATTCATTAATTTGTTAGCGATTCCCAGCAGCCTAGCTTTCGCGCTCGTATTCGACTTTTCCGCTTTGCTCGTGGACAACCTCTGGTGGACAACCTTAATTGAAATAGTGTATATATCTGCAAGTTGAAAGCGCTTATCAAGTTCCCGCGAGGAAAACAACAATAGGAATCAAAGTCAAGAGAAAAAACGCACAAATGTCCAAGTCTCAGTCATCACGAAGTTTCAGAATTTCTTGTTGAAAACCAAATTAGAATTACGTTTTTGTCTCAATAATTTTTTAACATGATCGATCATGTGCAAAAATTATTGAGACAACAACGCAATTTCTCCCCTCCCCCCAGAACAATGTTGTAAATATGACGTAAAGCCTTGCCCAATTTATAAGTCTTGCCCAAAAATATAAGTCTCATTATTTTGGCACTTGATTGTAGGGTTTAAGCTAACCTGGTCCCAAGCCCAGATATCGGGAGTTGAAACCGGGGGAGTTCGAACATCTGTTACAGTTTAATTGTTAATGGCTTGTTGACAAGTTGCTATAAGGTTGTTGACTCGAAAAACTAATTGTTACACGTTCTTCCAACAATTTATCATTCTGCCATTCAACCGTTTGTGCACATAACCATGCATGGTCACGATTACAACCGCTTGTTAGTACACTAACACCTTTTTAGTACACAAACACTTTTAAAAAAACCTGCATAGTCCACACAAACATGCCAACTGGCTATGTTTACAACCGTGCCCGACGAGTGATATAATTTACAATTATTCACCGAAGAATATCCTTGCACTTTTCACCGACACTGAGGTGAATGATTGTTTTAGTATGTACCATAACAAAACAAAAATGACCAAAAATCAACGAAAATATTTTTAAAAGAATTTGTATTTCAGCTCCCGAAATAGTTGTAAACAAAACAGCATTAACTAGCAATAGCTTTAAATAATATCTCTGCAGACTGTTAAACAAAACTTTGTGGCTTTCTTCGTGTTTGACGAAACCGCAGCTGCATTTAATACAAACATTTGCTCGTCTGTAACCGGAACGAAACGGGAAGCCATTTTGTTTTTGTCTGGAGATGAATAGTGCAAGGATATCCGGGGCTGAGAAACCAATCGAATCATGAGAAAAGTACTATCCGCCTCCCGAGTATACAGCTATTTCAATTAAGGTTGTCCACGACTGAAAGCGGAAAAGTCAAATACGAGCGCGAAAGGCTGCTGGAAATCGCTAACAAATTAATGAATTTTCATAGCGATTCCCAGCAGCCTTTCGCGCTCGTATTCGACTTTCCGCTTTGCTCGTGGACAACCTTAATTGAAACAGCTGTATGCTGAACATCGTTCTTTGTACAAGTGTTTGTTCACATAACCATGGTTACGTGAGATGCATGCAACCGTCTATAAACATAACCATGTCCATGGACATGATTATGTGAAGGTTATGTTTACAATAAACTACTTAAAGCCTTAAAATATCTTAGTATCTCAACTATTTCATTTTGCGTTTGCCAAAAATTTGGCATCATATTACACAACAACTATTTTTTATGTTATCGATATACAAAGAGAATACTTCGTGACCAGACCCTATATGTCCAACTAGTCATATATGGGTGACTTTAAAACTTCATATCCTGGCTAATCTCGAAATTCTACCACTAAATAAAAAACTTTGCCGACTATATATCTTGAAATAATTTAACAGTTTTCCTTTTAATATTCAATACACGTCGGCATGTACTTTCTACGCATGTTCAGTTAAAGATAGTTCATCTTTGATCTCAATTTGTGAGCGCAATTTCTGATCGTGAATTTAATCAAAATACATGCGTTTTGTGTGACTTATTAGAGCTTAATAGGCTTAATAGGGGTGGGCTTATTTGAGCTATTACGGTAGATTCGACAACATGGTATGTCCAACAGCACTAAACGCTTAAATAAGCATAATATGCAATGTTGTTTGATAAGGTCTAAGAATTGAGTTAAGGAGTTTATTTATTTAAATGAACAAGTACGGAACAACATGACAGTTTAAATAAGGTTCATCAGTGAGTATTTTTATGCTCGATTGGATTTTGGTGTGGTTAATCCAAGGTAAATCTGTAAAGCCACGATACCAACACAGGCAGTAAATGCAGTTTTCAAAAGTAATAAATTCCATGAGTAGATACCACAGGAGAAACTGATGAATCTAGAAAAAAATCAGAACAGCTAAAAGAAATACTGATATAAACAAAAACAGTAAGTAATCCCCGAGCCAACGGCGCGGAGCGCCGTTGTGGGCGCAAGCCCGGGGCGAGGGTACTAATTCCGCACGACTAATTATACCCGGGTATGTGAAAACATAGCGAAGTGCAAAGTTGTCCTCCATTTTGTTTATGTCATGGACAGTTTTCGATGTTATGCGCATGCGCGAGTACAAGCTCTGGCTAAATAATTGTTTTTCATTTATGATAAAAAAAGTTTATCATAAAAAAGTAATTGTAAAAAGTTTACAAAAGCACAAAACGTTTTTTTAACTGGAAATAAGCCTGCAGTTTCATGAATTAGTGACTGTTCAACCGTGAAACAAAGTTTGCAATAGAACTTGTTTTGATGTTGATGAATGATGTTTTTATAATAATTCAATCGATTCGTTGTTGTGCCGGTTTGGGTAAGTGTAAACATTTCAGTACTGTAGTAAAATTCCATGCCGTACTTGCTTTGTGTTGTCGATTTTATTCATATCTGCGAAAATTTTAAGCCATTCTTAACTCGATAATTCACAATAAATAATGTGTTTTAATGCAAGCTGGTATACATGGAATTGCAGCGAATGTTATCGCTCATAAATAAAGCTAGCGCATCAGTTGTGTTTTTATGTTTGTTTATAATGGTCTTAATACTTTATGTGGATTTTTTATACTTCATCTGTTAAGAAGGCGAGTGGTTGTTGCATGCATTATTTTCTGGTTAGTAGGTAAGTGTAAAGTGGGGTAGTCATCTTTACAGGAAGCAATATGTCATTAAGACTGATAAGGCATACAAGATTACACTGTTATTTTCAGGGAGTTAAAATAACTCCCCTATTACTCCTTTTTGGTGGAGTTAAAATTTTAAGGTTAGTTTAACTCCAAATTTGGAGTTAAAATAACTCTGTGAGAGGAGTAACAGATTTCCAGGGAGTTAAAGTAACTCCCCTATTACTACTTTTTGGTGGAGTTAAAATTTTAGGGCTATGTTAACCCCATATCAGGAGTTATAATAACTCTTTTTGAGGAGTTAGAGGATACTGGCAAACTAGTTAGTTGAGTTATTCAAATATAACTCCCTTTATTGGAGTTATTTGTTATAGGAGCCTGGAAGCAAAATGGCGTCGTGTTTTCGGCTATTTTTAATAGTTTTAACTCGCTCAGATTGCTTTCCTTTCAACTGCACTCAAGAAAAAGAACGTGACAATGTATACAAAAGGGAAACAAGAACTACATTATTCATGTTTCAGGTAAGAGAACATGTTTTATTTCGTGTTTAATATAAATATTCAAATGAGAGGAGTGACATTCTTGGTCACAGCAGCTCAATGATGCAGTGTTTTATTACAACTTATTTTTAATATTCTGTTGTGATGTGTTTTATTACATTAAATTTAAACA